TATTTTTAAACACCTCTATATAACATAATGAAAAATTGAAAACTATTTTATTAAATTAAATAAAAGTAACTAATAATTTTTAACTAAGCTACTTTTTCTGTTTAAAAAATAACATGACTAACCCAAATTCAACTTTTTTTTTGCCGAAGAACAATGATATATGTTTTAGCATTTATTATTAAAATGATAAAATCTGATTTCCTAACATAAAAGATGATGGGTCTAAACGAAGTGTAGTACGAATATTTGTCGACAAAAACGAGTAGCACGAATGTACAATTACAATCCTCTGGAATTTGGGAGAGATTTTTAATGAATTGTTTTTTCCTGCGTTTTGTTGTTCCATGCATAGATTCCATTATTCTTTAAATGGGTTTAGCAAAAAAAAGAAGGCCACCACTAACTATATTTTTTCGTTATTTATGTGTAGCAAACATCAATTTTTAGCTGGTAACCAATGAACCAAGTAGGTTTAACTATGATTTTTTTAGAAAGACTCATAAAACTGTGAACTTACAGTAGTATAAATACTTCAAATCAATATTTTTCTCTTGCGACCACCAGAATGTTTAGAGTAACAAATATTAATTATACTACTCAAATGTAAATTAAGGACAAGTGCAATGTAAGATACCAAATCAAAGTTTAGACAAAATATATACTAAGCTATTATGCTGCCTTGAGAGAGAGTAACGGTGGAATCGATGATATAAAGTAACGACAAAATCAGTTAAAATTGATTTTAGAGTTTACCATAATCATATACGCCCTAAAAAAGTAAAATGTGCTTTGGTATATTATAGAAGAAAAAGATACATCAAATAGGACAAAAAAAAAACAGCCATCTATGTTGAAATATAATATGCGGGCGCATATATATGTGTTAGTGTTTGATAGTGTGAGTGTGAGTGCAATTAAGTTACAAGAAATAATAAAATTGATAGGGATATTTCTCAAAATAATTCAATGGATCTTTTGAGTCTTTGACATACAATTGTATCGATATTAATATTTTTATTTTTGTGGAGTTGTCCTTTTACTATATAGGTTACATAATTGACTTTGCCACACAAGTTCTAAACTAGAACTTACCGTTAAATTGCACTTAATAACAGTACAATACTTATATTGATCTTCTGAATATTTTTTTTAACGAATCTAGTTTTTATAACACCACCTCAAGCTATACCCCCACAAATAGAATTTTGTAGTAATAAAAAGAGAGAGGAGAAAAGCCATTATTTTTCATTTTTTTCCCCTTTTACTTCTTTAAAAGAAGAGCCATGATTTCTTCTAGCTGCATGAATGTAGACAAATAGACATTAATAAAAGTTATACATATATAGATGGTCCAAATTTGTTGAGTGTACGTGGAAAGGTTCATTTTTATTTCTTTTAATTAAGTGGCAAGTGGGTGTTTTTGGTTTTTGTTTTTTTTGCTTTCACTCGTAGTTTGAGTTTGCGCCCCATCATGTTGGGTCTTTTAGTTTCTTATTAACATTGACACTTAAATCATGTTTCTTTCTCTTTTATTTATGTATAAATTGATAACTTGTCTTTTCTTCATCTCACGATAGTGAATATTGCTACATTTGGCGTTTCTGATACAATCAATGGATGCATTTTTTTGTTCCCAGTGACTAATCAACCCAGTCGGTAGTTTCATAACTATTTTCAAAAAGGTCTCTGATTTAGAAAATATTTTGAATCAATTATATTAACATATGATTTTAAAATTTATTTGGATCAGTTATATTTACATTAGAAAAATGTATACTTACGTTGATCTACATTTTTTTTTCCGATTCGACCACTGTAACGTCACACTAAACAAGAATGAGATCAATGTGTAGTCATTGTGGTGGCCCTCAATTCAGAGATTCTCTCAAAAGAACTCCATGGTATTCAACACGATATCTTGAATCTATCCCTTCAATTTGATGTAATCGGTTTTAAGTTTATCACCCAAGCTTTAAACCTAGCAGCAGATGCGCTAGCAAAGAAGACTCTTCGTTTGTATGCTTCAGTTTCTTAATTAATGAGACACTTTTTGTCCTAAAAAAAAAAGGTGTGGTCATTGTGGTGTTGGGTCCAACCATATTAACTCATTCACAATCTTACTATGGGCTGGGCAAAATATCCGTTAGATTCGTTTCGATCCGTTATTTGATTCGATTCGATTTGAAAAATCCGAATATCCGTAACTTTACGAAGCAAATCAAATATTAAAAATAGGTATTCGTCAAAAGCGGAGCAAATATCAAATACTATAATTTATATAGTCGGATATCTTCTCCGCTTCGAAATACATACATATATATAGATAATTATATATATAAATTATAATTTTATTATTTTGTATGTGTTTTATAATTTTTTAATCACCAAATTAATTATTTGAACTACTAGATTGAACAATTAAAAGAGAAATATATATATTTTTGATAAAATATTACTATTTTTAATAAAATATTATTATTTTTGGATTCACTTTGTTTTTATTTAATTTTTTTAAACAAATACTTAACGGATCGAATATCCGGCAAATAGTTTGGATTTTAACGGATATTCGAAAAGCTGGATATCCGGTTACTAACGAAACAAATATGAATCGGAAAACTTAGTATTCGGAAAAAGCGAATCGAATCACAAATACCACTAAAATCCCGGATATCCGCTCCGTGCCCACATACTATTCTTATTATATACGATGGACTTGGGATCAGAATTATTAATTTTTTGATGTGTTGATTTCTACAAAAAGACCTAAAACGAAAAAAATATGAAGAAATAATCCATTCGAGAAAACTAGAATCTTATGTGTTTTAATATTTTTAATTCGACAATGGAATCCTCGATAATATAGAAAAAGATATTACAAGAGTTTTACAAAAGAGACATTGGATTACTCTATATATAGAGGCATACATTGTCTTTCTCCTCTATTTTAGAAGAAACTCTATTTTAGAGGGATACATTGGAGTAAAATCTTCTCTAAAATAGAGGAAAATATAGAGATGAGCATTGGAGATGGTCTTAACCACTATCTAATCTTAAAAATTATTTATAATAAATTAAAAACGTAACTGATCCTAATTAAGACATGATAATGGTTACATACTTACATGTGACAAACCATGATAAAAATATCTCAGACTCTAAACCACGAATAGACTACCATGAGTAAGTCAAATTCTGCGCGATGTATCTCCTCTAATATGTTGGCTTAGACAGACGTAAATTGCATCTCATTATTGTATGAAATTTTACCAAAACATACATTCATAGTTTACAATCATATACTCTATCCAATGCCATTATTGTAAACGTATTATTACAATAAAGACGATTCGAGGGTGCCTTTTGTTTTGTTGAATTATTTCGAGAGAGATTTGATAAGTGATTTAAAATAAAGTTGTACTTACCAATCATCGTATGTCTTATATCTCGACAACCAAATTAAGTCTAATGTGGTTTATGAACATATATGTCATAGTTCTTATCGCTCTAGTTTTATCGTGGTCATCTAAATTTCATAAGTATTAACAAATTAATTATAAAATAATATTGTTAATAACGTTATAAATTTTTCTTTAATGAGGTAAGCCAAATAGTTAGAAGAGTTACATAACTTGTGTCGGATTCAAATTCGAATAGAGTTTATTAAGACATGAAAGATATGATTTACATTATATAAAATGGATAGTTTTACAGTCAGCCATTTGTCTTTAAACCAAATAGAATATGAAGCAAAATGTTGAAATTCATGTATAAAAAGGCAATTTTTATTAATATAACTATGATGTGATTAAAGAATGTAACCAACCAATTATATCTGTGTAACATGTTTTTGTTTATTGGTCTCAGTGTACATTAGTGTCGTCATCAAAATGTGTGACTCCTACAATCCACATGGCAAATCGAAGACGTCTATATTCATATCTTGGTTATATCTGCAACATTATTTTTTGAGGAGATTGAGACTGATGGATCTTATTAAAGAGAGTTCCAACATTGGATTATAATATGCTGATGAAATTGATAATCAGGGCCGGCCCAGACCTAAAGCCCATCAAGCAGGTGCTTTAGGCATCAGATTATATTTTAATTTTAAGGGGCATAATTTGTTAGAAAAAGTCTTGTAGTTTAGTGGTTATTGTCTCATTTATAAGCAGGAGGTGGCGAGTTCGAGTCATATTATACCGAAATTTTAACATTTTTTTGTATTTTTGTTGGTAAATGGGCAACAAAAAATTTTTGGGCTTTAGGCATCCAAATTTTTTGGGCCGACCCTGTTGATAATTAACAATAAGACTCATTTGGTGTATACTGCGTTTTGTCTCTTTCAAATAATTGATGAATATGGACAAGGCCATATATAGCCAATTAGTCTCTAGCCACTATTTTTTTGCTTACACTAAAACGATCTGAAATGTCTCGTTAAACTTATAAATGGTTTGCATTTTGCAACCAAACAAAAAGTACAAAACCTACATGTAGAGTTGTAAAATCTAATTTCTTGAACATGATCCGATAAAAAATAAACATATTTGGTTTGTTTTACGAAATGTCGTTCCGCTACGGATGTACCGCTCCAACCGCGGAAACCAAATCCCATTTCATTGCTTAAATCTTGCAACAAAATTAAACACAGGTTTAAGCAATGAAAATTGGATTTGGTTTCTGCTGTATGAGTGAGGAGAGAATCGTTTAAAGTGACTACATTCACACAAATGAGGGAGGTTGGGTTTGCAATTACGTAAGTAGATTGATTGGTTTTATGATTCCTTATGTGAAGTTGAAGAAAGAAGGTTGTCGAGCAACAACGATATGGACAACATTCCAAACTAAACCGGTCTGGACCACAATGGTGTCTTGTGGTCCATGTTTATCTTTTTACTGAAAACGGCTGCATCATGACGAATGAATATGTGTCACCAAACGGTCACGTGACTAAGACCAATCACTCTTAGACAGGACGTAATCGAACATAGGAGAAGTAGTTTAAAGAACCGACTCATATGAATTCGTGAAAACCGGTTTTTGAAAAAGTTTCAATCCACCAAAAACCACAAAACCATAAACCTAGGGACAAACCGAACGAGTTTTAGAGATGAGACCATACGAAAGTAACAAGTTTTTAAGAAGCAACGTAAAACAAGTTGGTGAAGATGCAAAAATGGTTTTTCTTTTTTTGGCAGGGAGACCAGACGATACGAGCATCAGTTAAACTTTGCGTTTGAGAAGTCCATCTCTGGATGCTGCGTGAAAAGAACGAAAGATGCAGAACACATAAGAGAAAAGCAATGTGATAAGAATTGAAGGTAGAGATGTTGTAGGAAGATAGAGATGTTGTTTACCTCAGACATGAATTTCTTGAGAATCTCTTGCTTCTGTAGCTCGTCGCTTGTTGGAAGACCCATTTGCTTTTGCCTTTGATCGAACTATGGATAGAAAGACAACAGCAAAAAACAAACGCTTCAGTTTCTAATTCGAGATACTTGGATAAAGAAAGAAACGATTTTTAACAAGAAATACCATCATTTTCTCAACAGTCTGGCGAGTTTCTGGGTCAAGGTCACCTAATTTACTGGTCTCTGGTTCAACTTTCTGAGTATCGATTTCAGGTTCGCCTTTCACACAGCATTTCCACCATTCCATCTGATCATGCTTAGTCAACAGAATCGAAATCATCTTTTGATCCTCTGCAAAGTATCATTTTGAGAATTATATAACAATAAGCACTCTTGTTTACCACCAAAGTTCAATAGAATGATCATTGTTCACACAGGAGTTAGGCATATACCGATATTCCAGTAGCAGTCATCAGGCTTCACAGATCGATAGAGATCTCCCTATAATTATTGAAAGTTTGCAAATTTAACAAGAAAACTAGAAGGGCATCAATATGGAAATGGAACCGTTTATGATAAACAATAGCAAAGGAACTTACATCGATGATTGGATTTTGGCCTTTGAGACCAACCTTGAGACGGTTCTTCTTAATCTCACATACAACAGACCGTGCTTTAGTCCCAGTAGGCACTGGAATGTTAACTGTGACCTCCTGGAGATTCTGGACCCATGAGTAGTTCTCAAGATCAGTTCCATTACCTTGGTTAGGAACTGCAAAGAAACACACACAAAGTTAACTCGAGATAACAGGAGAACACCAAAGCTCATCAAATGGATCCACTAAAGCATAAGATAGAAGAAACTACCATCAAGTCTAAAACTTATGATGTTTTGCTTTCACTAGAGAGACATCAAGTTCTAGAACTTAAGATCCAACAAGGTTGATGTTAAAATTGGTATTAGGTGAACACAAACAGAACCTACTGATACTTAATACTTCCTAGAGGCTAGAACAAGCATCGAATAAAAAGTTTTAACCGATTTCAAAGTCTAACAACTCCTCTACTACATCATAGTTCTTAATACCAAATTGAACCAATAACATAAAACTTAATCAAGACCAACAAATAAGCCTCTTCGAGTTCTAAATTCACAGTTTGTCCATCAATCACAATCAAAGTTTCCAATCCTAAGAAGACATACCCTATACAAGATTCTCAAACTGAAACATCTCACGATCAACGACATGCCAAGATTCAAGATTCAATTTCATCATGATTAGATAAAAAGAAAACGACTTGATATTACCAATGGGACCAGATTCCTTCTTCTCCTCCTCCTTAGGCTTCTCCACTTCCATAGGCTCAGCACTTGAAGTAGCCACAGTCGGCTTGACACTCTCCTTCTCCACAGGCTTAACACTCTCCTTCTCTACCTTCCTCTCCACAGGCTTAACAGTCTCCTTCTCAGCTTTCTTCTCCACAGGCTTAACAATCTCTTTCTCAGCTTTCTTCTTCAACTTCTCCTTCGCTGCCCTAACCGCGACGGCGATCTCATGCTCCGCGGAGGGTTTCTTGAGAAAATCGCTCTGTTCTCCAAGAAAGTCGAAAACTTTCTCCAAAAACCCTAATGGGTTTGAAGAATCGAGTACTGCCCTAAACGGCAACATCCTGGGTCGGCTGCTGCTGCTTTCTTCTTCTACCTCAGAGATAATCGCCATGGGAGGTTTCGTTTTAGGGTTTTGGTCTACTTTGTTGGGTTTGTGACAAACAACGGAGGGAAATCAAGAAATGGGATGTTTTGGAGATGAAAGTTGTTCACTTTGATTTGGGAAAATGAAGAGTCCCCCAAATCGAGAAGCTTCGAGAAGTAGTAAGCTTTTTCTTTGTTATTTTTTCTCAAAATTAAAAAGAGACTTTTTATTATGAAATTAGATAGTTTTTCAAATTTATCATAGAAATAGGGATATTTCATATTTCATTATTAAATTTTAAAAACTAAAATTCTTTAACAACTTTTGAAACGCTAGGGAAAATTTGTTGGTACTTTTTATTGTAAAAACTAGACTAGATCATGACCCGCACATACGTGCGGGATTTCGTATTTTAAGAAATGTATTGTAATAAAGTTTTAGTAAATATAGATTATTTTGTTGTTTTGTTGATATATATTGTAGTATATAAATTATAATGTACTGTATCAAATGTTGAACCTGGAAAAGAAAACTCAATTCCGTATAATTTAAATACTTAACTGAGGAACATAAATAAAGAGAACTTCTATAAAGAGTGTTTAGAATCAAACAGGATAAGAAAATAAGAAGAACCGGAAATGAATGAATATAATATTTATAGCACCAAACATGATAAACATCCATACGAAGACAGTTTTATGTCTTGAATTTCTTACAATCAAATCTCTTACTTTGGCCAATAGACAATAAAAAGGAGAGATTAAAATGTGTTTAACAGATACAAAATTAAATATATGATAACGTTTATGAAATATATTTTCTTTGTGAATGGATCAATAAGCGACTTGTGATCTAGTGTTGACCCTAAAACCAAAAACCATAAAGATATTCATAGGAGGTTAGTAAAATTAGGAGATAAACATCATAAGAACATGAAGTAATTTACTTTTAGATCTCCATCTATTGTTTAAAGAATCGATTTTCTAGATTAACTATGAGATAATCAACGTGGATGTATGCATAATGATATTTAAATTACATTTTAATATTTTTTTAAAAAGAAAATAATCAAATTTAGAAGAATGTATATTCCAAAAGCTTGTAACAATTTGTTACGAAATAAAATAATTTATTTGATTTGAAATATATTAAACTTTTTTTTTTGGTAAGAAATATATTAACTTATTTGGAGATATAGTAACTAATATAATACATTTCAAAAATATATTTTCTTTTATATAACTCAAATTTAGTTTAGTAATATATATTTAAAATATTGAAAACTACCCGTTTTTTTAAAAAATATTTTAATGTATACTGCAAATATTTTCTAGATATTTACATATCTAAAATCCAAAACTTATTTGTTGAATATGCTATATTTAAAAGGATGAAAGTATTTAGTTTAGATTATATATGATAAATATACTAAATGTTTTTTTATATTTGGAAAATAAAATTTGAAATCTTTTATTTTTCATGTGATTTAATCAGAATTAATTAGCATAGTTTTGTTACGAAAATCTTTTAAAATCTAAACTAAATAATAATTTGTTATTAAATTAGATTGTCGTTTCCAGAAATATCTAATAATATATTACCAAAATAAATAAGTTTACATATATATATTTTTGAATTAAATATCTTGATTTATTATGGAATCTTCTTTAAACAATCTCCAAAAATATTAGGCAGTTATTAATTTATTAATTATAATTTTGATTTTTTCAATTGTTTTTTCTTTCTTCAAATTAAAAAAAAAATCAATGGCATTCTATGTAATATTCTACAACTTAAAGGTTTTTTATTATCTAGTGATTCCCAATTAATAGTATAGATTTTAACCCGTGGTACACCGCGGAATGATTTAATTTTAAAGTTAGTATAAAAATATTTTGTAAATTGTATCTCCTTATAACATATTTATTTATATTATAGTTTATAATTGTTATTAAGTAACGTATACCACGAGTCCACGAGACAATTATTAATAAACTGAAGATTTAACCCGTATTAAAGTGATATATAAATATTGATTCAAATTCGTCCGCCATATAAATCCCTTCCGAAATATAACCCGTTCCATAATTTCTTAACCCGTCCCGTGATTTGTTTTTATTTTAAAATTTAATGATTACTTATTATATATAAAAGTTTACAAATCATATCATTCTCTAAGACATTTATATTTTAATAAACTAAAGATTTAATATGTATTAAAGCGGCATGTTAATGATATTTTAAAATTTTATAAATATTGTTATTAAGTAACATTATCCCACGGGACAATTTTTGGTTTTATACAATCTTTTCTAAATGAGACTGATTTAATGTGTCTAATATTGTGGTATTAAAAAAAAGGATTTAATCCGTATTGAAGCGGCGGATTAATAATATTTTAATCTTTTTATTATTGTTGATTCAAAAACCCATCCCGCCAAACCCGTCCCGCCAAAAAACTCATTTATTTTATTAATATTCTTATTTATGATATGATTCTGAATCATTGTCTAAATATTTTAATCGATGTAAAACGTTGAACACACATTTTCGTCAATTGGATAATATATGTCCGTTTTTTAAATTTCGAATCACAGTATATGCAGAAAAAAAATTGATTTTTTTTTACTTTATGTATTATATTATGATTCAAAACAGTTAAAAACAAATCAAACAAAGATGATAGGAGAATCATAATTATAAATCTTAATCAAATCTTCTAAATATCTAAATTATTAAATATGGAATATCCGGTGTATGAGTTGGGTTAAATATAACCCGTCCCAACAATTTTTTTGTGAATGAATTTTAAAAACGGGTCGGGTATCCGATATACCCGGAAGCATTTTTACCCACCTGTCACCAAAGTGTTGCAAAAATACTAGTATAGATTGCCTCAAACTTTTATAAATTTGTATTTTCACAGTTAATTTCCGAATATATCTATAGCTAACTTAAACTAATTATGGAATGATTTGAATGATCAGTGTGACTAACTAATTTTTAGCTAAAATCTCTAACATGAGAAATTTACTATGTTCCAGATATATTTCTTGGGTTTGCGCTAAAGTTTGGCGTGGGCCAAAATATTTTTACGACAACCAAACCAGTAGAGCCCAATAAGCCCCAACCTTAATTAGTACTGAGAGCTGAATATTATTATCTTTTTAAAAAATCCGTTTGATTTGTTATCTTCTTGAGCACTTAATTAGTATAAAAACGGTGAATGTTCCACAGCCTAAAACTGTGATTAAAACTGCTTTGAAATTTTAAGGATTGGATTATTGGACCTTCTATATAATCCAGTATCCTCTAACGAAAAGAAAGCTAAGCATACTATGAGAACTTGATGGTATAAAAAACAAAGCCATCGTTAGAACTTTTAGGTAAGAAAAAGAACAAAAAGCGAGTGCAAAAGGCCCACATAGACAAGATAACAAACTAAGTGCAATTGATATTAAATGTTCAGAGTATGAATGAGTAATAGGTGCAACCACCAAATCCAATCTTTCGTACTATCTCACGCTGACCAAAGATGAGAATGGCTATGAGAGCCATAATTGCATTAGATTTTCAATACAACGAAGATTCTTCACCCAAAGATTCGATAAGTGGTTTTAGGTACCACTCATCAGTTTAAGCGGCGAAGATTAAAATCGACGTGATGGCTCCTCTCCCGAGATTCTGAGTTTTTATCATAGAGAAAAGAGAAAGATCGAAAAACTAGAGAAGTATATTATTTCATCCGTTTCGTTTTAGTTATCGTTTAAGGTTTTCTCACACAAATTAAGAAAAACATTAAATTTTCTGTTTTACCTTTTATTAATATATTTTATAAAAAAAATTCATTGGCCGAAACATTAAAACAGTAGGGATAAAA